CCCATCAACGAAAGCTTCTTTCCAGGGACCACGCCTTTTGTAACAATGCCTAAGTATGGCGCATACATCACGTAAATAAGTTACCTAAAATGTTTGAAAACCAGCTTAAAAAAGACTGTGACATGACATCATGTCACACGGTCCCACGTGGCCGAAAGAGTGTGGTATGACATCATACCACACGGTCGTCAACGTGTTAACCCCAGTCGATGATCTCCCAGAGCGTCTCTGCCGTGGTATTCGCAGCCGATTATGGCTGAAAAAATCGACTTTGACTGAAAACATATTTGGCTACTCCTGATTTTGAAACCCAGAAAACGCGTCAATGGAAGCGATGCGGCAAGAGTCGTACGTCTTGCAATGGGGCTTCCAGAGTGTCTTTCACGACATGGCAAACATTTGGTTGCCGATGTCCAGAAACTCAAGAAAAAAGCCCAAAGTCGGTTGGCTTGTTACCCTGAGTGACGAGTGTCTTCTGGAGTTGTCTGGAAACCAGTCTCTGGTGCAATGCACACTAACTGACACAGCTTTACTGCAGTCATCATAACACAATAGCCATTCCTCAATAGCTCCTCAAAAAGAAAAGAAATTATGGAAAAAGGGGATTTCGTGATCTGGGTGACAACCGCCATCAGAAGCCTTCAGATTTTGCATGAACATTTTGATTTACCGGCTGTATCTTGTTTGACCCGACTACTTTGTTAGGTGGTAGCAAGGAGTAGGTTCCTCAATGTAACCACACTCGCGAGCGCCACTGGCTCAGACGCGTAGAACCAGAGATTCCGACGTCCACTCCAGCACTGCAACTTGAGAGGCAACTTTCAGACTTGGTAAAGCTGCAAGCGATCCGTTTGCCGACAGCTCCTACCAACGAACTTCACTGCTGTAGTTCGATAATGTGGGCAAGCGGATGGGATCTCATGCACTATGCGTAGAAAACATTACAAAGATCACTTCATCCGAGCAGCGATCGTCAAGGAATTTCGAAGAAGGTCCACCAAAAGTCTCCAAGCCCCTCATGGGATGTTCTGTCCCACCATTTGTGTTTAAGCAGGTCCGGCCCCAACAGAATAGCGTCTGCTATTGCTGCTGATTCAACTAAAAGAGGGAGAGCTTTATGTTCCGGACTACTCGAAAACGGACTTCCTCCAGTTTTTTTTTGCCTTGAAAGCTCAGGACTTCTAGGCAAACGGCATCCACAAGCCACCTGCTGAAAGGCAATATGTTCACGATCACGATGGGGCATATGACTGTAAATTGCTGACTGGCCTAAAGAAGAAAAGTGGATTTGAAAAAACCGACAAATTGGCAAAGACTTTCGAGGACAAACTAAACAAAAGAAACAATCTCAGTACCCCATGGCTCTTTCTTGTAAAAGAATCAAAAAACACGCGATCATAGTACCGGTGCCTTCAGCAGCAGCGAACATAACACGTAAGCTAGCAATGGCGTTCTCAACTCAGTGCTGAAACGAAAAACCCTGCATAAAGGTGCACAAGAAAGGCAGTAAAGCAGAATAGGGACTGAGCAAGTGGCAGACTAGAGCTGGCGCAAGCGAATGCAAAGAAAACCGCTGAGACGTCATACATCCTATCTCTCAAAACCGAAACGGCAATTGAATGAAGTTTGGCTTACACAATGACATGCGGGGCCCAGCCAATGTAAATCACGTTTTCTTTAAATCTTGACGAGTCTGGCAACAATTGACCGACCCTAGATGAGTGAAAGGTTGTTTGACTGAGTGGATTCCAGCCCAGGTTTCAAATCTGGTACCGTTGCGAGACATGGCACCACTCATCGTTACACCACTTCCGCCCACCAGAGGGTTCAGCATTACCTTTCCATAGGATGTCCAATCCTAAGTTCCTTTCAAAATGCAAAATTCCATAATTCGAAACTGCCTTCTAGAACAACTGCGAAGGTACCTTTAGTTAAAATATGTTCTATCTTCAGAATGAGTGCAAAACAATACGTTATCCACAAAATATGGACAAGTTATTGACTAGTAAAATCAACCCCAAGGCTTTACCTTCAGATCTCGCGCATGGTAAATAACTTGGTGCTGCAGATTTAGGATCAAAATGAGAGAGAAAGACAGTCAAAACTCATTAGAAAAGAAAAACTGCGGAGCTTGAAAAGTGGCGCCAATGGAAGAATGCAGCACCAACCAAGAAATTAATACAAAACTGCTCACAGATACCACAAGTAAACACGATTTCACCCGGTTTCCTGTTCTTATTCCATCTGTTTGCAGTATCGGGCACGCTCACCACGACGGAGATCAGAAATGGGTCTTTAAAGATAACTCGCCGATTTATGATATGATAGAAATGGGAAAGTTTGCTATCAAAATGCGACTCAATGTTATACAATGTTTTTGCACAAATTATTACAATCCCTTCTACTAATGTATGTACTAGATCATTAAAAAGTTGTGCTCTTAATTTCGGCTGTAATTTCACTGAACGACAATCGTTCATTTGGATTCTACAGTGAATTTAAGCTTTTTTGGACGTTTATGCACCAAATGCCCATACTGTGTAAGCGACCTGGCATCCTAGGATCTAAGCCATCAAATAGCTGTACTTGGATTGTGAAAAATAAATATCTAATACCCATGTTTGTCGACTGAAAGTCTATCTAGCACGAAACTTGCTTTTACCTGGTTTGCCTGGGCCAGTGGAGATCAGGTAGGTGTGATGTGTTAAAGCACACTAAAAACGAGCAGACCAAAGGAGACTCATCCTCAAAAGGCAGAGAGGGGGAGTCAAGATAAAAAAAATTCTGCTTTGAACACTCATGGACTCTTAGAAAATTCAGCGATGAGAAACACCACGCCCAAAGGAAGCTGATATGGTTAGTGCAAGAATCATGATGAAATGATGTAATATCCCACGTAAGACATGCAACATGTATGGATGTGAACAAAAGACTTACAACAGTGGAGAGCAAAAGAAAAACGCCGAACAAAACACTACCTGTCGCCTACGCGAGAAGTCTAGGAGGTAGGCTGGGAGATGAGAGATACTGTGAGTCGCGGAAAGGGCAAGAGAAGTCCGATTAGAAAGCGCATAGCAGATAACTTAGCGACGCAGATCGGATTTCAAACGGTGGGTGGGTCCTGATAGTTTTGGTGGCAGCTAGTCCGAAGTCCTTAGCGCTTAGCTGCCTTGATTACGCGTTCGATGTAAAAACTGCGCTACCCTCGCGACTACAGATATCACAAAGCCAAGTCGTTAAGGAGTTCCACGTGGGTACATCAAGCAACATAACGATTCCAAAAAATGAGTGATCGATTCTAAAAAACGCTGCGTCCAATAATGCGCAAAGAATGGAACTTTGCAACTGTCTTCATATAGCCGATCTGTGAAGCGCTGAAGATTGTGCCTAACTTCTGACGATTGAATCAAAACATCTCCAAAACTGACTCCAAGCAGAATTAAAATTTATATATTAGGTTGGAAAGAAAGTTCTGCAACACTCTTTCCAAAATTTTCTTTTTTTCTGAAAAATTCATAGGTAACATTTATGACTACCAAATGATAGAGCATTCTCAAGGCTTCAATCCACGAGGTGGATATAAGTTCTGCAGTCAGTAGTTATCCAAGAAAATTCAAAAAATCTCGACCACTAGCAAATCCGTACTCCGAGTCACTGTCTAGTACAAATGTCTACAAAACCATGGATTCGTGTCAACGACTGACACTATCTGCAATAGCTTCTAATGGCATGCCGTTCAGCGCTACAGCGTGTTTCACCTTTACCAGCGCTTCCGATCTTTTGATATTTTTATAAGAAGCCAGCAGCATCCCTCACACTCCATTACAGGTAGGGCTCTTACAGAAGCTCCACTACATACCCTTCGTTATGGGCACCATTGTGTAGGCCTAGGTTGTGTACCAGAAGTGGCCTAGGTTGTGGAGTACCAGAAGCTGGCCGAGGTAGCTCGTCAAGAGCCCTCGTACCGCGACAATATTCATTTCTTTCATGACATTGCGAATCACCATGATCCGAAATGAGCCCGGTAAGAAATTCTGGAGTTGCGGCAAGATTTCTTTCCTCTCTTAGCGTAATCCCCTGGTCGAGCTGTAAATAAGTGCTACCTATCCTGGACCTTTAATCATCATCTTTATAACGAAATAATCAGACGATCAACTCCAACTCGAAAGTGAGGTCGCCTCCTTTCTCGACTCGCACTCCGCTGGGTTTTGGCGAGGAGGATCAAGAAATTTTCTGAGCGATGGAGACAAGTGGTGGACACTCATGGTAGATATAAGACCGGTCAGAAGTTGTAACCAAAAAAGAAAATAAAATTAAAATCAAAAATTTGAAAAAGTGTTTGGACTTTCTTTCCAACCTAATATTAGACTATCAGAACGATGGCGCACAGTGTAGTAGATATTCACGAATGGACAACCGTTAGACGGGTCACGGAGAGAAACATCATTCTTCATAGGTGGGACGTACGCAGCACTACTGTGATTGCGCCGAAAACTCGAGTTCGGCTCCGGTCTGACGTGGAAAATAAACATGGAATATTTGGGAGGAGCACAAGATTTGCGGAAAGTTGAAAGTCAGCATGCGCTGTAAGGTGTGCGCATATGGGCGCACTTTGTGCGAAATATTTGTGGTTAGACCCCCGCTCGAACCAAACTGGGTAAGTTAAACGTATCAGGCTCCTAAGTGAACAGAAATAACTTAACAGGAAATTTTGTGACATTGACTTGAACACGTATCTGGTTTATTATAAATTTCAATATTTCGGGTGATCGATGTTAGCACTGGGAGGAATTTATGAAAATTACGAAGCATGGCGACTTGTGTGCATATGTAGGAAAAACTACAAGAATTGAATGACGAGAGACCATAGTACCAGGAATATTATCAAAATTGAAAAATAGCAACAGTTGAATTCCAGGCAAATGGCACCCAAGAAAAATGAACAATAAAGAACGGCAATTTGACATTAAAAAATTAATCTGATCGCACTGACCAGCATATCACTGTTGAGGTGAAGCAGAACAACTTACAAAATGGAAATAGCCATCTACTAAATATTCATGATGTCTTCGATATCCTTCGCACTGGTTTCCTGAAAAAAAAAACTTTCTGTACATTCGCTCTCCATACAAAAATTTTGGGAAAGTGTATAAATCCCATTGCACAAATACTGCATAAGAGCACGAAAAAAGCACAAGAACTGAATGTGAACTTCCATTCTTTGAATCTTGAGTGGTTTCTCACAACACGGACGCCTTCTCAGTACCAGTGGAATCAGGAGCGCTACCTTGTTGCATCAGTCATCATACTAGGAAGAATGCTTCAAGTACTTGAAGAACCCGTGACTTTTATATGACTCATGGGCGAGTTGCTTGACGAACCTCCTATGAAAGTTAGCTTGGAGATTCCGAACAATCGTGTATTTAATGATTAATTTCCGGCATTGGTGCGGGTTTTTGTTTAACTTGGACTAAATAACTCCCACTGTTGACAAATCTATGTACACTCTGTTTCATGCAGCCAGAAATCCACGTGGCACACGTGGCTAAATTCTCGATGAAAAGGTGACATCACGTGTGCTCAAAGATGTTCTTGAATCGATGCCACGTCAATGCCACGTCAATTTCTGCAATTGCACAATTTCTGGTGATTTATGTTCCGCAATCTCAACCGTAAGGAGTAGACAAATTCAACTTTTTGTTTTGCTGTCCTGGAGTCTCTCAACCAAGTCGCACTATTACAGAATCTCCATTTTTTTCCCCTACTTAGAACCAGGCTTAGAACACTTCTCACTCTCAAAATCCTGTTAATAACCTGTAAACCCAATTTTGAAGCGAGTGTATGTATGTCAGTCTCAAACGTATCGCACTTTACAAACGCAACAGCAAAGCGGAATCTGACAATCTATCATAAAAAAGCCCCTCAAGTTCTGGAACCGATATTAATCGCGTTTCTCTGCGAGTTGACCCTGACACAGTCCTAGCAGTTTAACCTCTTGTCAACACGACCGCCTAGAGAAGGATTTTATCGCGAGCGAGCCACGTCAACGGCAGAAATCTCTCGCCGGCGTTTGTTGCATGGCTCTGGGTCAGGAGAAGCAAAGATATGGAAAGACATCTTGGCGAGACCTATAAAATATCCCCATCAAACCAAGGTTGATGAAGGAATTGAGCTTACCACAGTATAATCACCAGCTCAAATCAAATCGCCAAAATCAAAAATATAGGGGAAATTCTGTAGAGGAGAGTAGGACAGGACGGCAACAAATGAGTTAAGGGATAGAAAACCGGTGAACAAGGCTGAGGAAATCCCCAAATAGTCCCATGAAGGAACTGCAATCGTTTGTATCAATGGCGCTGAATTGTAACAGCTGCAGCAATACCAAACAATATAAATGAGTCAGGATGAATGCGAAGCTACGAAGGTAATCCTTCGATCACAAACCAAATATTTCAACTAACAATAAGGTTGATGGATTCAGCAGAAGGGACTTCGAGCAGGTTGAACCAAACATAGCTGAATCACCCGCACAACCAGAAGTAGGGGACATAGGTCCTGCGAGGCCATGCGGCTGTACGGAAGCACAAAACGCACCCTGAGTCCAGCATTTTCACATGCACTCTAAGGGTGCCCGAGGCGCCAGACCTTCGACTAAGTACGGGAGACACAAACGTGCTTGAAAATTCAAAAATCCAAAAGAAAACTAAGCGGCAAAACGATCACCTTCTTCTACGACTTCGATATCCTTTAGGCGTTCGATTGGATTTGGAGCACTAGGCCGTTCATCTCGTCGGGGCCCTTTTGCTTTACCGATCTTGACGGGTCGTGAGGCTTTGTACGCTTCGAATGCACTGCTCATCTGAAAGCTACAATTACTTTGAAAACAGATGGAATCAAGCGTTCACAATTGTTACACTTACAGCGTCGTGAATGGTGTCGAATTCGTTGGCTTTCAAAACAAACATCACATCTTCGACGTTCACTGTTTTTCTTTTCTTCGAAGCTGCGTGTTCTTCTGCTTGTGATAGAACATACAATATGAAGACGGAACAAGCTCGCATCATTTGTATTCGTGCATCCTAGGAAGGAAAAAGTGGGACAAGAAAGCGAATCTGCAGACTTGCGAATTACTACAACCCGCAGCTTTCGACCTGGTTAAAAACAACAAGTTTCGCAGAAGTCTACTTAGAAACCCTAAATTCAACGACAAAAACATACCTTGGACAATGCAGCGCCAGCAGGAAGAACAGCTTTCATGAGACGACTAAGAACAGCCATAGGCAGTCGAAGGTCCTCAATCTTGGGATCGTTCATGGCACTCTAAAAACCGCAAGTTTCAAACGGATGACACAAGACATAACTAAACACCGCTCTTCAGGGCACATTTGTGGCACATGCAAATTGGAAGTCGCCATGCGAATTGGCTCAAACTGCCCGATTTCTCAACTTGTTGGACACGAGTACGCTGCACCAGCCCCATCCCCGATGCATCCAACTAGACGTATTTATAATTTTCCAAAAGATAAACATAAGAAATAAAACATCTAAAGCCAAGCTTTAAAGGATCGCGGGAAACTTTGAAAACCAAACTCTCGCGCCCTTATTGCAAATTGCGGTCAACGTACCCAAAATTACGGCTTCGCGGTGCAAGAGGAATGGTTTGCGATTGACGTACTGTCCTTGACGAGTCACAGCATGTTATGCAGATCAATAAACTGGGAGCAGAAAAATGGCACGACTTGTAAATGAGAAACAAGGACACCAGTGCTTGAGCGACTGCTAAATTACATGATAGCTCATTTTCCAAATTATTTTTAATTTTTCAGTTTGTAGGTGACTTTTTTTGATCGAGTTCTCTACTTTCTTCTATGAGTTCCTTCTCAAAACATTTACTTTCTACATTTCAGATTAACCTAGGTAGCGTCTTTCTGTTTGAGAAGAGTTATTTTATCTAAACCATCAAAACGTTTTCAGATAGGACGTTATACAGAGCATTCTAAAAAGTTTAGTTTCATTCGCAAGTAATGTAGAATCAGAACGCTTCATAAAGAACCGATATCACGAGGTCATCAGATCAAGCGTTAAGGATTTTTCTGTATTTTCTAGCCATTTTTTTAAACTTTGGAGGCGGTACAAAGGGAATACTGGTACACCCCTCAGGATTCTCCTTCCTGCTTGGATAGTCTATTTTATCAAACACAGCACGATAGTAGCACTTATCGGGTGTTATGTGTATCTCTAATAGAGTTAAGGTTTGGGACGGTGCTCTTTTCCCCTCCAGCGAGATGTTGAAGGCCTCATGACTTGTGTTTTTAAAATGCTCCTGGGGCCGTAAGGTATGCTTCCCCGAAGGGTTAGGGGACGAAAATCCCTTTAAATTTTCTCTGTCGTCCCAACTGGGATTGTCCTGATAAAGGGCCTACATTTAATATATGTGTGTTGCTTAAAGTAAACATGCATTGAGAATAAAGAAACAGTGTCGTTCAAAACAAAAAATTTAAAGGGACTTTTCGTCCCCGCAAGCAATCGGGAATAAGCCTTACGGCCCTGTATGGCTCTATCTAGTATGAGCATCGAAGAAAATATAGTTGTAGGAGCTCAAGGGAAACTAAGTTAGAGTGGTACTACCAATTCATGTTATACGATTATAAATAGAAGCTGCCAGGAAATAAAACAACAAAAGGATTGGGGTATAACCAACAAAACTGCAGTGCGAAAAAAGTTCACAATGTACGGCTCTAGCCTGTGTCAGGCGGCTTCGAAGAAAGCGGATAAAAATGGAAATCTGTGGGAAAAACACTGATATAGCCAACCAGCGTTTAGGGGGAGCTCAAGTGTACGTGTCATGCTATACAGGCCGTTCTGTAAGCAAGGGAAGGGAAAGCTTAAGATATGGGACGCGGATGAAGTTAGCATTCGCCAACATCTTTAAGAAACGTGACGACGAAAAATTTGCTGAATGAATATGTTCGAATCACGGCCTAATATCGTTCGACTAGTGAAGCAGCGTCATCTGATCTTTACGCTTGACAGGACGAATTCACGATGGAAAACAACCCATTTCAAATTAAACATAGGGATGGTGAGCTTACATTGGTGAGTGGTACACGAAAGAAGGAAGAACCATGAGAAACGGCCAGAACCCGAGAAATGGTACCCCTTCCTTGCCCGTTGATTCGAGCATTGATGCGACTCTCATCGCTGTGCCCTCTTCAACACTACGCTCTCTCAGCTATCTAATCACTCGCCACGTATTGAACTACGGCGAGTGATCAGATGATCGGTGGGCGGAGATCGCCGGACCCGCCAGCTTTGAGGCATGATAGGTCGCCGAGGTCAAATTTTTCCATGCGAATTGCGCGTCAGTTCGCACCCTCAGGAGGTCCGTGGGTCCCTCAACTAGGTCAGTTTCCCTTTCTTCGACCTTCATTCTAATCGTGAATTCCTCCTTTAAACTTGATTACTAAGGGAAGCGGATCTGAGAGGAACAAATTAGTTGTCCTGTCGATGAAAGTTTGCTCACCCAATGCCGAGGCATGTGCCTAAGGTATTCGGTTGAATCCTTTCGTTCTGGAGATTCAAGTCAGAAACGCATAAAGAGGCATACCTGATAGACCAACTCTTCGCAGGCACTAGCTTAGTCGTCTATATCACTGATTTGCATGAGGATTCAGTTTTCCGCTTGTTCGATTATAGGCTGACAAGCTGAGCGTTACATTGCGATTTTTCGATGCGTCTTCGAGGTAGACGCATCCTTTGAGGGAAGGTTTTGTTATTATTCATACTGCTTTATTTATTTCTAATTTGTAGTAAAGAATTTGGACTACCAAGCTAGGGGGTTTCCTTGAGCTCCTAAAAATAGCTTCGATGCTCGTGGTGGAGCCCTCAGGCGCTTATAAAAACAAAGCCTGGCCTTCACTCGCGGAAGGAAAGAGAGCAACACAAACCGCTATTCTAGTAGAGTACCACACAGAAAGATAAGTCGCCGATCTAATGTTGTTGTTGATAAAAATTCAAAAGATTTTGTGAAGGGGTGTCCTTCATGATTGGCACTGCTCTTAAATGGGGGAAGGAAGGTGATCTAAACAAAACGGAAAACTGATCGCATAACAGTGGTAGGTGACGATATAGTGAGCTATAAGATTGTCTTTAAAAGACGGACAGTTCTGGATTTTACAAGGTTGCAATTAACGAGTTTTGCTTTTCAGTCGAGATGATCCATGTTTATTTTTTTGGGTGTTCTATGTACGGCACTGCATATAGCACTCTAGGAAAGAACAGTTCCTTTGGTGCTAGCGGCAGTGCAGGAAGCAGAACGTCAACTCGAAATTGAACTTGGGAAATAATTATGGTACAGTATTGAGTTCTGCTCACAGTCGCATTGTACATGCTGGCAATCCATAAGTTTGTATTGGTTTTAGATAAAAATAAAGGGTAATGGGCAGTCTGCTGGTGAAAAGATAAGCATTTCAGCGTGATTTGCAAAATGACTATCACTTACATTAGCGTTTGCAAATGCAGTGAAGGAGTGGCGAAGGTGTGGGGTGTATTCTGTAGTAATTTTGTTTGCCAGAAGCACTACATAAACTGCGTATTCCATGTAGCTGAATTGTGCCATTACAACACGTAAGTTAAACTCAACAGAGTTGGCAGAATCAAATCCAGGGGACGAGTAAAAGTGGCGTCTAAACTGCTAGTTACCATGTGGTCATCACCTCACGGTAGCCTCCCAATAGCCTTCGTCCAAATGTGTTCCTGAAACATGCATACAGGTCTCCAGGAACCCCTCTGAAGATTCCCCGTCAGAATGCTCGAAGTGAGTTGGAAGTCACCGGGAAGTCGGGGTCATCACATCACGTGTCGGTAAGAGGATTGGCAAGGCCGCCATTGTAGACTGACAACGATACGTGGCAAGAGGTGGAAACAGTGCGCAAGAGGTGGGGACGCAGGCATGCTGCCACTCTAAAGTATGTGTGATTTTTCCAGTCCTGATCACATTACGATGAAAACCTCGGGACATTTTTGCCGGAGAGTACCATGGGAATAACGCTGTTTAGAATCTACGGAAAAGCATTAAACATGCAATTTGGGAAAACGCAAGTGGATCGGTTTAATTGTCACGGGGTCGAGGTGTCAACTCGTAACGTCGTCATTACAAATATGGTTGATTAGGGTTGTGTCATAATAGTGTTCGTTTTGTCAAACCGAACAAATGTCATCTAGTCCCATGCTGTTAGCTTACATAGCATTCATACGACCTGCGAAAGGAAGTGTCTGGGCTACAAGGTGCTAATAGATGTGGCTTATGTTTGCGAACCTCTGTTTCCAGGGTTTTCAAATTTTAGGCCTGCGAAATGGGAGGTCCAGTCCGCCGACAAAAATTGACCAAACCGACAACTATCTCTAACTTTATCTTCCCTTGGGAGAAATCAATCAATGATGTACCCTCTACTTATGCATGACCTCTTCTAAACATTACACTATTAGGTTTCCCAACAAGTCGCGTCGTTCCATTTCCAGACCTGGTTTTTCAACCAGAACTCGACGGTCGAGCACCATTACCTGAGATCGAGGTCGAAATTTTTTTACAGCCGAGACATTGAAAAACTAGTAGAATTTGAAGAACAAGTCGTGACTAAGTTAGGAATGTACGCCTGGTTGATTTTTCATACCAGATTAGTCCCCCGTCAACCGCCGGGACCTTCCTTTCCTGCGCAAGCTTTCTATCCTCCGCTATGGTCCCTTCCTCCTGTGACACCAACACCTCGTGGAAGTGACGCGTATGCAACACAATGGTGTTTCAAACAGTAGAAGGGACACAATCATGATATGACGGTAGATTTTTCGCTTCCCTTCCTCATCCTCCCTTCCTCTCTCCACTGCCCTCCAGCTGCCACTGCAGCACCATGTGGAATGAACGGAAGTGTGCTAAGCAGGTGTTTATATAGCCCTAAGAGTGTTATCACAACTATCCTGCTACAAAACATTGATATCTCAAATCCTGTAAGCTACCCGATTTGTTAGCGGTTTGTTTATCCCATGAGCTTCCTTCTCACTCACTTCATTTTGCGGACGGACACATACATACACACACACACACACACACACACACATACAGATACACAAACCGACACACAAAGTTAGCGCTTTATAAAATAGACCAGATTAGTCCCCCGTCAACCGCCGGGACCTTCCTTTCCTGCGCAAGCTTTCTATCCTCCGCTATGGTCCCTTCCTCCTGTGACACCAACACCTCGTGGAAGTGACGCGTATGCAACACAATGGTGTTTCAAACAGTAGAAGGGACACAATCA